CATCAAGGAGGAAGGGTTCTGAGGGTCAGACAGGAATGCAGAGTGTGGATGGGGACAGCTAAAGGGAACAGCAGGGCAGCCTTGGGGCCTGCAGGAAAGGAGAAGGCCTTGTGGAGCCTTCCTGAGGACTTCGCAGTGAAAAGGCCAGTAGCTCCTATCACCGCAGCTCTCAAAGAGGAGAACAAAGACTAATCATGAGCTCTAGACCCAAACAACCAAGTGCTGCTTGAACATAACCTTAAGACTCCAAAAGTGGAGTAAGAGACTCTCAGTCATGTCCAACTCTTTGTGACCCCATGGACTATACAGTCCATGGAATTCTCCAGGCCAGAACACTGGAATGGGTAGCCTATCCTTTCTCCAGTGGATCTTCCTGACCCAGGAATCGAACTGGAGTCTCCTGCATTGCAGGTGGATTCCTTACCAACTGAGCTAAAAGGGACATTAAAATCCATCTATCCCAAATCAAACTCACTCATCCCAATCATCATATTTTGCCCTTTTGTGTTGAAAATGTTCTTTCCCTCAGCTACACCTCAAATAAAACTCTCTCCATTCATCTGGTCAGTGGAATGCTGAAATCTGGGAGACATCCTGAAAGTCTTCAATTTCCCCAGTTTCGATCAATTCACCCTATCAGTTCTACAAGGTAAACAGATCTCAAATGTTTCCAATTATGCATTGTCTCCTCAGATACTACTTTAAGTTCTCATTGTCCTCTTCCTGATCTCTTGTACATATCATTTATATTTTTATATTAACATATATCCATAAGTTTATTTGTTTGTGCATAAATAAAGTCACATAGATTTACTCATATGTACATATATCATCACTCACACATATACATGTACAGAAATGCATCATTAGGATATGCATGCATATGTAAGTGTATTTATATGTCTATAAGCATATATTCCCAAATATGTGTAATAAAGAATATATCCATATATTTGTGCGCAAATGTATGTGTTAAGTAATTTTTTGGTCGTGTCTGACTTTTTGTCACCTCATGGACTGTAACCCACCAGGTTCCTCTGTCCATAGGATTCTCTAGGCAAGAATACTGGAGTGGGTAACCATTTCTTTCTCTAGGGGATCTCTCCAACCCAGGGATTGAACAAATGTCTCCCACATTTCAGGCAGAGTCTTCACCATCTGAGTCACCAAGGAAACACACACGTACATGTATATAGCTATGTATTATAATACCTAACTATTTGTGTTTCCTATATTATATGAGATTTAAATATATATATATGTGTGTGTGTACATACACTTAAGTATGTATTATAGATATTTCTTAAAATGACAAACTTTATAATTTTACTTTTGTTTCTCCCTACAGTTCATTTCCCATCATTTTCACATCATATCTCCCATTATGGCCACAGCAAACTACTTCAAGTGTTCTGAATTTACCATTTCTGCTGCTCCCTCAGCCTGGAAAACCTGCTCTGCTCCTTTTCTTCACATGGCTAACTGTCCATTTTGTTTCAAGAATCTTCTCTGAACCTTTGTCACCTCAGTGAAGCTTCCTCGATGCCTAATCTGAATTTAGTGTCTCTTACTTGTGCTTCCACAGCTCCCTTCCTTTCCCCTCTGGGTGCAGGTACAGCATTCAGAATAAATGTCTTTATCATGGCCATTTTACTCAGCATGAATTACTGGGAATGTCTAAATCAGATCATGTGTTGCTTTCAGAGCGAGGCAGGTCATGTTAGTACTTGCAATGCTAGCAGTGATGCCAGGAGCAGTCGCTGAACGTGAACAAAGACTTCTACCCACAGAGGGAGGTAGCCAGGCTCCTCGGAATTTCCCTTGGAAAGGAACGTCAGGATCAGGCTGACAGCATCAGGAGCTGGGAGTGGGATGGGGACAGTGAGAAAGGACTTTGGTGGGTAGTTTGCCAGGTGCCCATCAGACTCCACACTGGGGGAGCCCAGGTGACCCGGCAGGAGCTCTTTCCCTAAGGACAACGAGGGCTGACTCAGGATCTCCAGGCTCAAGTAAGTGGAAGATTCAGGGACAATGTCCTCTCCTCACAGATGGTTATCACTACTTCCACCCCTTCTTCTTCCTTGTGCCTTTCAGGAAGTCTTTGATCCCTGCATTTCTAGAGTCTTGACAGACCTATGTTTGAAGACTATGAGATTTGGGGGCTCCAAAGGATGGGGTGACCAGAGAAGTCTCAGTCACCTCTAGGGAAAATCTTTTTTCAGTTTTTAAAAATCACCATAAATATTCCACAGTGAGGTATTTTTGTTTGTCTCTGTTTTTCCTTAATTGTATGTGTATGTTAATTGTGTGTGTGTGTGTGTGTGTGTGTGTGCCCCACAGCAAATGTCGGGCTCAACTGCTAGAGTCTGTTTTGATCAAGAGCAAATAAAATATTATTCTTATGCATGCCATTTCTTAGTCACACAGTAGTAGTGTGAGCGGTCCCCATTGCATAGTACTCTTTGTAACTAGGATCCCTCTTCTCTAATATTACTACTTAGGATGAAGAAAAATAAAGATAAACAAACACTTCACTGTGGAATATTTATGGTGACTTTAAAAAATTATATCTGTAGAATTATTGGTTTTCAAAATGTAACATGAATGACCTTCATAAAAATATTTTCACTCAGTCACCCTAAACAGGTAAGGAACATATATCAGAAACACTTGATTTAGCTTAAAAAAAATTTAGGAGAACAGGGGTCAATTTTACCGCTTCTATAATATGGGAAATTTTCCTATGATCCCCCTGGCTTAAAAATCTCTTTTTCTGTGATCTGATTCACTTTCCTGGCAGGTTAAACATGATTTATGTTAGATTTTATAGTCTTTTGTTGGCCTATTTGCTTTTTGTTTAAACATTTAAAAATCTTTTTATGTTAGTAAACTATTACATAACATAAAATTTACCATTTTAGTCATTTTTAAGTGCACATTCAGTGTGCATTTAAACAATTGATTGTCTTGGCAAGGATCTCCAGTCTGGCATATGGAGCAACAAGCTCTCCTGGTTGACCATTCAAATGTATTAAAGCCTGAGACAGTACTTTAGTGCACCTGGCTGAGGTGATTTTACCTGCTAGACATTTAATCTGTTGCTTTAATATTCTATTTTTTCTTTTTACTAACCCTACTGCTTGTGGGGTTTAAGGAAGGTGGAATCTCTGTTCAATGTTATGGACTTTTGCCTAGTCTTGCATATCATGACATTTGAAACATGATCCCTGATCACTGTTCAATGAGGGTATCCTGCATGGTACTGTTTTCATATTGCCCTAATGGTGACAGCCTGGCTTCCACAGGGACAGAGGAAAGCTTGGGTTAGGCCAAATACAGTGGCTACATATACCAGGGCAAACTTAGAACCCTCATCTGGCGGGCAGGAGCCAATATAGTCAATTTACCAATCTCTTACCAGTTGGAAAGTCTGCTGGAATACCCCAGACTCCTTTGGCAGTTGCCTTGGATATTATTTAGAACATACAGGATATAAAATTACTACATTAACAATGTCTCTGTATTTCATTTTTGGCAATGTGCCATCCTACCTGACCACTCCTTTTGTGCACCCAATCTGCTATATCTACTGAAAGATCAGTTGCCAGGACACATACCCAAGCTAGGGCATCAGCTTCTTGTTGCCAGGGGGTGTCAGCATATTATAAGCAGGGACATGGAAGATAGTGAGGACTACCTCAGGCTCTTGAAAGTAAATCCAAATATCTTTCTACCAATCCTGACCCCATGAGGGCTTATTTATGACCATCCGCTCCTCGGCTTCTCATTGTCCAAGCTAAGGGGTTCATCCCTTCAGAGCAATCCAACTGTCAGTGCAAAGGGTGAACAGCCCAGGGTCAACCTGAGTGATCACCAGCCAAACTGCTCTGAATTCAGCCTCCTGGCTTCTGTGGCTCATTTCTATTTCCAGACATCTGTATATCAGGCACTTAGCATGGCATTTTCACTTTACTATAACCATTCACTGTTCATTTTATCATAATCCCCTAGCATTTAACAAACCTTTTTTTCCCCCCTGAGGGCAAAAAAGATGACTATAACATTTGTGTGCTGAGTCAAAAGCCAAGTCATTATAGAACTGGCAAAAAGCTTTTGTGATTGGCTGAGAAATACCGTTTCATTCTTCCATTGCTTTTACTGGCCATATAGGTCCACAAATATGTTTCTAACTGTGAGTCTTCCAGGAACAGAAAATTCAGAGGGACCGTGCCAACTAAAGGGAAGAAAGTCATATTCCCTTCTAAAATGGCCACTTGGTTCATCACTCCAGACAGGCTAAATCTGTCTTTAGGCTTTCCTTTGTAACTAAATGTCACGGACTGTGTCTATGTTTAGAGCACTGGGACCTTGAGGCTAGGACCTATTCCCTAAACAGGCAGCCACTTTCCCGGCTTCCTTGGTGGCTCAGACAGTAAAGAATCCATTTGCATTTCAGGAGACCTGAGTTCGATCCCTGGGTCAGGAAGATCCCCTGGAGAAGGGAATGGCTACCCACTCCAGTATTCTTTCCTGGAAAATCCCATGGACGGAGGAGCCTGGTGGGCTGTCGTCCTTAAGGTCACAAAGAGTCAGACATGACTGAGGGACTAACACACTTTCCCTGGGGAAGTAGTTCACCAAATGGAGCTTACAAACCAGAAGACCAATGACATCTAACCTGAGAGAAAGCAATCTTTTAACGGGAAAGAAACCAGTGGCTGGACTTGGTGATTACAATGGCCATTCTTAAGAGCAAGATTGCTAGATTTAGTAAATAAAAATTACAGGATGCCAAATGTTGTACTGAAAGTATGTATACTAAAAAACTGTCACTGTTTTATTTGATATTAAAATATAACTGGGAGTCTTACATTTATCTGGCAACACTATTTGGCAGTCCATTACTGCAGAAAAAAAGATGTAGAGATATGTGATTTCTGCAACTTCTTGCTCCTCTTAACACTGTCTCTAAACTGGCCTCATTTCTTATCACAGGCTTAATGGAAATGACAGGACAATCTTTCTCTAGATCCTTTGTTTCCATGCTCCTCCTGCAGATGATAACACCAAGTTCAGGTATGAAGTTTTCTCCTACTCTTCTGAGCCACACCAGTATCAAGTATGTCAGGGAAAACAAGAACCAAACAAAAGGGACCACTGTTTCTAGATTTAATATGTAGTTATGATGATGTGTATGGTAAGATCCAGTTTATGGTTAGAAAAACTAAATATTTCTAATCAGCAAGTCTTCTTTATCATGTCCCCAGATTTTCCTTAGGTTCCATGGAGAAGAGACAAATAAATACCTAATACTTGCCCTTGAGAACTAAAATTCATATTTAGGAGACATTTAAGTACTATTTATACCTTGAGGAAGTGGTCTAAGTCACAGATCCATACTAGAATCCATGTGAATTATTAGCAAAATAAGGATGGGATAGGTTGGTGGAAACTTGACAGGTGATGAAAATTCACATTTGTAAAGGGATATACACAAAGCAGAAATAATAGTATACTTCAGTTCGGTTCAGTTCAGTCACTCAGTCATGTCTGACTCTTTGTGACCCATGAATCGCAGCATGCCAGGCCTCCCTGTCCGTCACCAACTCCCAGAGTCCACCCAAACCCATGTCCATCAAGTCAGTGATGCCATCCAGCCATCTCATCCTCTGTTGCCCCCTTCTCCTCCTGCCCCCAATCCTTCCCAGCATATAGGGTCTTTTCCAATGAGTCAACTCCGCGTCAGGTGGCCAAAGTATTGGAGTTTCAGCCGAAGCATCAGTCCTTCCAGTGAACACCCAGGATTGATCTCCTTTAGGATGGACTGGTTGGATCTCCTTGAAGTCCAAGGGACCCTCAAGAGTCTTCTCCAACACCACAGTTCAAAAGCATCAATTCTTTGGCACTCATCTCTCTTTATAGTCCACCTCTCACATCCATGCATGACTACTGGAAAAACCATAGCCTTGACTAGACAGACCTTTGTTGGCAAGGTAATGTCTCTGCTTTTAAATATGCTATCCTGGTTGGTCATAACTTTCCTTCCAAGGAGTAAGTGTCTTTTAATTTCATGGCTGCAGTCACCATCTGCAGTGATTTTGGAGCCCCCCAAAAATAAAGACTGACACTGTTTCCCCATCTCTTTCCCAAGAAGTGATGGGACCAGATGCCATGATCTTAGTTTTCTAAATGTTGAGCTTTAAGTCAACTTTTTCAGTCTCCTCCTTCCTTTCATCAAGAAGGCTCTTTAGTTCCTCTTCACTTTCTGCCATAAGGGTGGTGTCATCTGCATATCTGAGGTTATTGATATTTCTCCCAGCAATCTTGATTCCAGCTTGTGCTTCTTCCAGCCCAGCGTTTCTCATGATGTACTCTGCATATAAGTTATATAAGCAGGGTGACAATATACAGCCTTGATGTACTCCTTTTCCTATTTGGAACCAGTCTGTTGTTCCATGTCCTGTTCTAACTGTTACTTCCTGACCTGCATACAGGTCTTTCAAGAGACTGGTCAGATGGTCTGGTATTCCCATCTCTTTAAGGATTCTTCACAGTTTATTGTGATCCACACAGTCAAAGGCTTTGGTATAGTCAATAAAGCAGAAATAGATGTTTTTCTGGGATTTTCTTGTTTTTCCTATGATCCAGCGGATGTTGGCAATTTGATCTCTGGTTCCTCTGCCTTTTCTAAAACCAGCTTGAACATCTGGAAGTTCACGGTTCACGTATTGCTGAAGCCTGGCTTGGAGAATTTTGAGCATTATTTTACTAGCATGTGAGATGAGTACAACTGTGCGGTAGTTTGAGCATTCTTTGGCATTGCCTTTCTTTGGGACTGGAATGAAAACTGACCTTTTCCAGTCCTGTGGCCACTGCTGAGTTTTCCAAATTTGCTAACATGTTGAGTGCAGCACTTTCACAGCATCATCTTAATATATTTAGAGATAGATAATAGAAAGCCTGTCTAGTCTTTGGCAAAATGCCAAAGAATTGATGCCTTTGAACTGTGATGCTGAGACTTCTGAAAGTCCCTTGGACATCAAGGAGATCAAACCAGCCAATCATAATGGAAATCAGCCCTGAATATTCACTGGAAAGACTGATGCTGAAGCTGAAGCTCCAGAATTTTGGTTATCCAATGTGAACTCACTGGAAAAGTCCCTGATGCTGGAAAAGATTGAGGGCAGAAGGAGAAGAGGGTGTCAGAGGATGAGATGACTGGACAGCATCACTAATGCAATGAGCATGAACTTGGGCAAGCTCCGGGAGATGGTGAGGGACAGGGAGGCCTGGCCCACTGTAGTCAGTGGAATCACATAGAGTTGGACACAACTGACTAAACAACAACAACAATAGAAAACCTGAGACATCAAATGGAGTATAAGATCTAAACATTTCTAGCAAAAGCTGCTTATTAACTGACAGAAATCTAAGTGATCCACATTTAGGTGGGATCCAGCCTTTGGCTAATAAAATAGTGCTGCTACCAATGTCTTTAAACATATGTTTTTTAGCATACCTGTGAGTACAAAGGTAGCAAATATTCCAGTGAATAGACCTGCTGGTCAAAGGTTATGTGTTTTTTTTATTATGGTATTGAATATGTCATTCTGAAATCATTACTAGTCTACATTTCCACCAACAGGTAATATCACTATTTCAGATATTACAGGTACCAGAGTTTTTTTTATCTTTTCCAAACTTACAGATAAAAAATAAATTCTCATAGAGATTGTATTTTACCTTTTTGTTAATGAGTGAGACTTAATATCTTTCAAACAAAAATTGTATTTCATTTTCTCTAAACCACCTGCATAGGTCTTTACTCCACATCTTCTTTGTACTGTTGGTTTTCCCTTACAGCTGTTTAAGAACGCTTAAATATTGGGATTTTTTAACCTGTTATACCTATCCCACTTATTTCTTACCAGTTTATAATTTTCTATTGACTTATTAATTATATTTTGAATATGCAGGGAGGTTTTTGCTTTGGATTTTTATTTTATTTTGTAAATTATGATGTTTCCAAAGTCCCCCTTTATCTTGTCCTACTTGTTATCCTCATTGACTTTTTAAATTTTATGACTTTCTTTTCTAAAGCAGTTTTATCTTTACAGACAAATTGTGTAGAAACCACACAGAGGGACTTTCCTGGTGGCCCAGTGGCTAGGACTCCATGCTCCCAAGGAAGGAGACCCAGGTTTGATCCCTGCTCAGGGAACTAGAACCCATATGCTGCAATTAAGAGTGTGCATGCTGCAACTAAGAGCATGCATGCTGCAACTAAGACCTGGCACAGCCAAATAAATCGATAAATATTTGTTAAAAAGAAATTTCATAGCGTTTCCATAAAACCCCATTCTCCCTTCCTCTTCCTGCCCCTCCAAAGTTTCCCATACTACGAACATCTTCTATAGTGAAGTATCAATACATTTACTACAATTGATGAAAATGAACCAATTGGTTCATCAGTTGTAGTAATGTACTATTAAATCAAGTTCACATTAAGGCTTGCACTTGGTATTATAAAATTCTCTGGGTTTTAACAAATTATTATATAAATGAATGCAAGTGGCCTCTGCATATTGGCCCTCCATTGCTTACTTCTTTAAGCCTGAGACCCTCTCACTCGAAAGCTTGCCAGTGTCAAACTCAAATTTTGACACATTTGTTTTAAATATATAAAACATGAGCATACTTTTAACTATGTAATGCCTCTCTGCTTTGTATGTCCCTTGGAATTGCAGCCAGCATCTGCTAGCCATAGGTAAGATAAGCCCTGTAGCTAGAGAGACCCCAAGCCACTGCTGTCCTACAGAGCCTTTGACTCCTCACTGTGCTGTGGAGTGACATTACCTGACGCACAAAACTTCTCCCTAACTCGTCTTTCCGCTGTGAGTTCCCTTGCCCTTCTCCCCTTTTTGCACCGTGCTCCCTCTGCCTCTAAATGGTCGCATACTGTGGGGACTGTCCCCATGTGTCTGTCAAACTGCTTCTCAAATACAGGTGCTACTGCCACCTTGTGGTTGTATCTTTCTCATTGCTCAGCTCTTAAATCCTCAAATGTGCTATATTAATACATGCATAATGCCACGTGTCTACCATTACAGTATCACACAGAACCATTTTACCCCATATTAAAAATATCCTACGTTCATTGTGTTCATCAATCCCTCCTGCTGAAGTTCTAGTAGCCACTGCTGTTTTCACTGTTCCCATAGTTTTGCTTTTTTCCAGAATGTCGTGTAGCTGGGATCATACAATACATACATAGCGTTTCATAATGACCTCCTTACTTAGCAATATGCATTTAAGTTTCCTCCATGTATCTTCATGATTTGATGGCTCAGTTCTTTTACCACTGAATAATATTACATTGTCTGGATGTACCAGAGTTTGTTTATTCATTCACTTATTGAAGGTTATATTGTTTGCTTCTAATTTGAGGGCAACAACTGAGTGACTGAACTGAATTGAACTAATAAATAAAAATGCTAGGAACATTGATGTGAAAGTTTTTGTGTGGATGTAGTTTTCAACCGATTTGGGTTGCATACCTAGAAGGGTGATAGCCAAAACATATAGTGATTACATATTGAGCTTTGTATGGAATTGCCAAACTCTTCTGTTAAGTGGCTATACCATTTTGCATTCCTATGAACAATGAGTGAGAGTTTCTTTTGCTCCACATCTTTGTCAGCATTTGATGTTGTCAGTGTTTGAATTTCAGCCATTTTAATAGGTTTTTGGTAGTATTTGATTACTTTAATTTACAGTGACTAATGATACATGATATTAAGCTTCTTTCATATGTTTGTTTCAGTTCAGTTCAGTTCAGTTGCTCAGTCATGTCCGATTCTTTGCAACTCCATTGACTGTAGCATGCCAGGCCTCCCTGTCCATCACCAACTTCTGGAGTTTACTCAAGCTCATGTCCATTGAGTCAATGATGCCATCCAACCATCTCATCCTCTGTCATTCCCTTCTCCTCCCGCCTTCAATCCTTCCCAGCATCAGGGTCTTTTCAAATGAGTCAGTTCTTCACATCAGTTGGCCAAAGTTTTGGAGTTTCAGGT